GTCAAACACTCAGCATGGTGTCTGGCACTTTGAGATCACTCTCTAAGTACTGCAGGAGCAACAGTGATCTCCAAGAATCGGTTGGTTCTGGAGGCTGCATCCAAACTAAATTGCTGCATTTAGTTAGAGGACATGAGGGAAGGGACCCGAAGCCAGACTGTCATCTCTGCTTACCACCTGAGTGTGACACTTCTGAACCTCCATTTCTTCATCTACATAGTGGGGGATAATATCAGGACCTATCTAACCAATTGGTTGGGAGAACTGAGTGCTAATTCCTGTAAAACATTTAGCACATTGCAGATTTGGAATAGATGTTGGCCCCTGAGATTTCTTTCTTTTTTTTTTTTAAAGATTTTATTTATTTTTTTGACAGAGAGAGACATAGCGAGAGCAGGAACACAATCAGGGGGAGTGGGAGAGGAGGAGCAGGCTTCCCGCGGAGCAAGGAGCCCAATGCGGGGCTCGATCCCAGGACTCCGAGATCATGACCTGAGCCGAAGGCAGACGCTTAACGACTGAGCCACCCAGGCGCCCGGCCCCTGAGATTCCTTATCAACTGAACTGGAGCAGTCCAAGGGAGGAGGAGGCTTTGTTGAGGGCTGAAGACCAGAGGTTTGGGACATGTTAAGTTTGAGATGGCATAAGTCGTGAGGTGGAGCTATTGGGTAGTCAGGTGGACATAAGTCTCCAGGGGAGGTGTGAGATGAGAAAACAGTTGGAGAGGCATCCGCATAGAGATGGTCTTTAAAGCCTTGGACAGGGCGAGCTCACCAGGGGAGTGAGCGCTCCCGAGAACAGACAAGAATGAAGACGAAACTCGGGGGCTTGTGACACTTAGCAAAGAGGGAGATGATTGTGACTGCAAAGCTGGTGACCAGACACAGCAGTGTTGAAGCTACACAGCTGACCTGCCCTGGCGACATTTACCTAACACTCTTTTATCCACAGGCAACCCTCAGACGTATTGCAGGTTCTGTCCCAGACCACCACGAGTCCAGTGAAGTTTCCGGTTTCCTAGTGCATATAAAAGTTATGTTTACACTATGCAGTAGCGGCTGTCTGAAAAAACACTTTATTGCTAAAAATGCTAACCATCATCAGAGCTTCCAGTGAGTCATAATTACTGAACACAGCTCACCATCACAAATATAACGGTCATGAAAAAGTTTGAAGTATTGCTAGACTTAATTACCAAAATGTGATACAGAGACGCAAAGTGAACAAATGCTGTTGGAAAAATAGGACCGGGGTAGACTTGCTTGACACAGGGTTTTGTAAAAAAAAAAAAAGCAGCATCTGCAAAGCAGAATAAAGCAAAGCACAACAAAATGAGGTACGCCAGGCTCTGTGAAAAATGCTTTACAGAAATTAACTTATTTATTTATTTGTTGGAGAGGGAGAGGGAGAGAGAGAGTACAAGCTGGGGGAGCAGCAGGCAGACGGGGGAGCAGGCTTCCCACTGAGCAGGGAGCCCGATGCAGGACTCGATCCCAGGACCCTGGGATCATGACCTGAGCTGAAGGCAGCCACTTAACTGACTGAGCCACCCAGGCGCCCAGAAATTAACTTATTTAATTAACTCATGAGAAAACAGAAACACAGGAAGATAAATGACTTGCCCAAGGTCACCCAGCCAGTGAGTGGCAGATCTGGGATTCAAACTCTGGCCTCCTGGCCTCAGAGTCTCCATCACTTCTGCTTCAAATTGTGGGTTAACAAAGTACTGACTGGGTGTTCCAAGGGAATGCTGAATTTCTTAGCCTCTGACTCCTGAGAGCAGAGCTGGGAAAATCATCATGAAATAAATTGCCCTCAGAGATCCCATTTAGCCTTGACACTCTAGGATCAACCCCAAGTAGCATTTCAGATTTTTTGTTGAGGAAAGAAGAGGAAGGAGGTTTGGTTAAGGTATGTGTAACCCTGATCAATCCCTTACTCCATGTAAGGTGCTAGAAGGTCCTGGGGTGGGGAGGTTAGGAGGAGGGCTTCTCTTCCAACTGTGGACTAAAGCACCTGCATTTCTCACTCCCTAGACTAGTTACTCTCAGAATAATGGTGGCTGATTTGAGGCTGGAGCCAGAGTCCAGGTGGGAAGTTGGGGTGGCCCAGGGGCATGCATTAGCCTTGGGGCTCCTCTTGATCTCCACCGGGGTAGAGTCGCTCTGTTAGTTCAATTGCCCCATAAAACCTCACTGTGATATGGAGGCAGTTTGAGTTCATTTACCCCTCTTGGAAGGTCTTCAATGAGTGTCTGAACAAACAGGTGGACCCCAGCTGAAGAGGGAAAGGGGCAGGGCAAGGGTGGGAGGAGGGATGGAGGGTCAGATGCACTCATAAACTCCAGTGAAGGGAAAAGGAGCGCCGCTGAGTCAGGCGTCCCGCTGCCAATGTCGTCCTGTCCCACACCCCCACCACACCTGTCCTGCCTTTGATGCTGACCTTGGATGAGTAGCTATTGAGGAGAAAACAGTTCTGACAACGCAGAAGGAAGTCAATGGGAAAGGAAGTTAAGTGGGGCCCCAGAGAGGCTGTCTGGTCCATCCTGCGGGCTCTTTTCCACATCCCCTGGCCTGGAGCTTCTCAGGGTAACTACAGCACAACCACTGGGAGCATAGCAAATGCAGATTCCAGGGCCCCACACCCAAGCCAGAACTTCTGGGGGTCAGAGCCCAGGAATTTCTATTTTTCACAGCCTTCCTTTCTTGCAACCTCAGCAGTGTATGTTGAAGACCATGCTGTAAAGAACACAACCTCAGGGCGCCTGGGTGGCTCAGTCGGTTAAGCGTCAGACTCTTGATTTCGGCTCAGGTCATGGTCTTGGGGTCCTGGGATTAAGCCCCTGCCCCATGCTCAGTGGGGAGTCTGCTTCTCTCCTTCTCCCCCTCTCTCTGCCCTTCCCCCCACCTCAAATCAATCACCGCAAGGATGAAGAATCACCAAACAAGCTCTATATGGTGGTTACCTAAGTACCTGTCACCACTTTTGAAAATCTATGGACAGTTAATGTAGATAAGAACTAATTGCTGATTGTCAAATAAAGGTCTAAGACTGCAAAAAAAAATGTTTATCTCAGAGTTATTTGTCATAGAAAGAGTTTAGAAAAATAACCTGAAGATCAAGTTACACTGTTACATAACATGTACATAATGTTTACATAACAATAGTTATGTAAATTACGGCATACAGACAATAGACTATGAACGTTCTGGAGCTATTAAAAGGGGTATGATTTACCTTTATGTCATGATACAGACATGTACCCATATCATTATATAAAAACGAGGTTACAGGGGTGCCTGGGAGGCTCAGTCGGTTAAGCATCTGCTTAATCATCAGGTTATAATCCTGGGGTCCTGGGATCGAGCCCCACACTGGGTTCCTTGCTCAGCGGGGAGTCTGCTTCTCCCTCTCCCTCTGCTTGCGGCTCCCTCTGACTGTGCTCTCTCTCAAAATAAATAAATAAAATTAAAAAAAACCCCTCAGTTACAGAACAATATAGTCTCATTTATAGAAGAAGTATATGTATATGCTTTAAGTTTAGAAGGATAGACACAAACTATTAAGGGCCATCTCTGCCAAGTGACAGGACTGTTACTTGCTCTGAGTTATGAAATGTTAATATATATAACTTACCAGAAAACCCGTGATAATGATAATGATGATGAGGATGTGGGTGTGGGTATGTGTGTGTGTTTATGGTTTTTTAAAAAAATAAGACCCCTGGAAGGAGTAAGGAATTCCAAGACTGGAGACTGAACACTGGCAAAATGGGGCAAAGTGGGTTTCACCTGCTCAGAAATCACACAGTCCCAGATCTGTGGTGAGTTCTGCTTTAGATAGAAATGAGGATTCAAAAAGAAAGAAAGAAATGATCGGGATTCACGAAGAGCTGATGCTGGAAAAGGAGACTGACTTGCAGAAATTTCCATAATTAATAATAAGAAAAAGGAGAGTCCTCAGTCTGATCCGGGGAGCAATCCCACAAGACAGGAGGGACAGGACCTGGATGTCTGGGGTCTGAACGCCCCCCCTCCCGGTTGTGAGCTTCGAACAACACACACTCCACCGAGCTCCTGGCCTGCGCCCGGCACGTGGTGGGTCTTCAGTGCCCCTGGCAGCCCTGCTCCAAGCTGCCCCCTGGGCCCCGGACTGATGCTTCACTTGCTGGCATTATCCACACCCTGCTTCTGTCTCTTCTCCTTCAAGTGCTCTTTGCTGCAGTCAAACTCATTTTTCCTTCCATCATGACCCTTCCCACCTTTGTCACACTGTTCCCTCATCCTAGAATATTGTCTCCCTATATTCCCCGCCTTCTCCAACCTCTGTTTCTCTAAACATCCAAGTCCTATGGTTCCTTCCAAACCAGCATCAAATGCCATCTCCTATGCAAAGATATCCCGGCCCCCAGCTGCCCCCTGCTCCTTCCCTGTGCCCCAGGCCACGCATCTGCATTTGTCTAGGAACTTGTCACATCCTGCCTGCACAAGGGTTCTCTGCAGGCCTGTGTTTCGTCTCCGGACTAGACTGGAAGCTCTTTGGGGGGAGGGTGTATGTCTCATTCATCTGTGTGGCCTCGGTGCCAGCCCCGCATGCAGCAGGTGCTTGATGCGCTTTGGTCGATGAATGGGGGGGTGAACAAGTAAATAAGGGGTGAGGCGAGCATGGCTGAAGGACAGGGCAAGGACGAAGGGAGGGAGGGAGGGCAGAGGCGGCTGAGACCTCGGACGCTCTGGCATTGCCATCGCCCTTGCTGGGAGTGGCAAAGGGCCTGCAGCCAGCACTCCCCCGAGTGAATAACCTCAGGGCTCTGCTCCGCTGGGTCCTGCCCCCGTCATAAAACAGGCAACGCTTCCTCTTCAGGGCTGGAGGGGGAGGTGGAGTGACTTAGGGGCCGAGCCCCAGCGTGTGGCAGAGTTTATAAGCTGGGGCACCGGGCCCCTCAGCACCACAACCCTTCTTCCTCATCCCCCTGCCCTCCGGCCTCCAGCTCTCCCAGCAGCATGGCCTTCAATGGCAAGTACGAGTTCGAGAGTGACAAGAATTACAGCGAGTTCATGAAGAGCCTCGGTGAGTGAGTGCACGAGGTCCCCTTCCCTGGGCTAGTTTGTCACAGCCAGCTTGGGGCCACCAACCCAAACTCCTTGAGGCCCAGAGAAGCCTTAACTAGAGTTACTAGTCCAAAGTCACACAGCCAGTAGTGGGTGAGGTGCGGGCTTGATTGGCTTATTCATTCATTCAAGACCCTGCTATAGGTAAGGGCCAGCCCGACGTTCCTGATGGGGTGCTTCAGCATGATGTGCCCAAGGTCACACTGTAAATTAGGGGCAGAGATCATTAGCACCCAGGACCCAGTGATGAGATGATGAGTGGTGCCTGGGGAGAGATGACCAAGGGGTTACTATAGAGGCCAGGTTTGACAAGCCATGCACTCATTTGGCCATTCAACAAACGTGGGCCTCTTACTGCGCTAGGAACTGTGGGCCGAGATCAGTGATGCCGCTCCTCTTCACTGCTCCATTTGCAGTGCTGATTGTGAGGAACCCATGGGACAGTGGCCCTGACAGTCCTGCAGAAATCTTGGGGCATGCTCTAAGTCGGAGGGAATGCCATTGTCAAGAGTCAGAGGACGGCCCCGGGGGATCTGAGAGGCCCTGAGAGCAGGGGCCTTGGGGAGACAAGAGCCCTTCTGAGTCCATTATTGGGAGTGGCCCTGAAGGGACAGTGACTTGGCTTCACCTCCAACAGTCTCGTGTGGAATTGGAAGGGCGCCAGTGTCCGCGGTAGATCTGGTTCAGCTGTTAGCCTCCACGGAGATGCTGGGAGGCCCCTTTCCTGCTCTGGGTCTTGCCTGCCTCATCTGTGAAACAGCAGTGTTCGAAGGCAGTCTCGCTGGTCCCATTCATCCTGGGGCTTGGCGAGCTTGGCCGCGTCTGTCGTGTTTGTGTTTTGGTGCATCAGAATCAGAAGAGCAGCTAGTCCTTAATGTCAGTTACATGCCAGGAGTTTTATAAGACACAATCACTTTAACTTCCTCCTCACAACAGCCTTGTGAAATGGGCCTTATTACCCCCATTTTGTGGACGGGAACACTGAGGCTCAGAGAGGTAGTGACGCATCCCAGCTCATGGTTCATGGTAGAACTGGGATTTGTGCTCCTAACCATCGGGCTAGCCAGCCACCAGGGAGGAAAGCCTTCTCCCAGAGCCACAGGTTGTAAGCAGCTCTTACATGCTGCTCTACTCGTCCCCGGGCCAGGGCTCCCCAGCGATGCTATCGAAAAGGGCCGAAACTTCAAGACTGTCACGGAGGTGCAGCAGGACGGGCAGAACTTCACCTGGTCCCAGCACTACCCGGACGGCCGCTCCATGACCAACAAGTTCACCATTGGCAAGGAGTGTGACATGGAGACCATGGGGGGCAAGAAGTTCAAGGTGAGAGGCCACTGGCCGCCCCGCCCTCCTTCCCCAAGCCTCTGGCTAACTTCTTGGTCTCAAGTGTGTCCCCTGGGGCTGCACCCCAAGCTGAGGCTCAGTTCTAGAGTCCAGCCTCCAGCCTTAGGCGCTTGAGTTACTCAGCAAGTTAATCACTCTGGGTTCTTAATGCTACAGTCAATAACAGACACTGTAACGAAACTGTTAAAAATTGTTAACACTTGCACTTAATATATCCCAGACACCTGCTGAATACTTCACACATGTTACTGCAGTGAATCCTACGAAGTCGCAACAGTTACTATCCCATTTTACAGATGAGGGAGTTAGGCTGAGCCATGGGGTTTGGCGGCTTGCCAGGTCACCCAACACAGGCGGACCTCCACACCCAGGCAGCCTGGCTTCAGAGAGCATAACCATTTGCTGGGGCTGCCTTCCAGTGTAGCCTAGAGAAGCACAGCCCTAGAATCGGACCCGCATGGGTTCGAAACTGCAATCTTACATAAGAAAGAAGTAAAAGGTGACTGTCCTCTCCTACCCAGCCTGGTCCCGCAGATCTTCCACCAACTCTGGGTCCCCTCTATCGCCCCCAGGCATGACCATGACCACTCTGCTCCTTAGGCTGCCACAGTAGAGAATAAGTGGTCCTGATGTTCATCTTCTGTCACTCGTGGATTTTAACAATTTAAGAGTTTCTCAGGATCTCGTTCTGTGTCAGCACAGATCGATTTGTCTTATTGTTTTTATTGCTTGCACAGCATCTTTTAGTATGGAAATGCTATCATTCCCTTCACATTCCCTGGTCAATAGATATTGAAGTTACTTACCGGTGGAGAGTCCGGATGGCTATTTAGGTTGTTTACAGTTACAAACAATGCTGCAGTCCACATTCTGCATGACATCATCATCATCCTAACAATGAGGATCATAACCAAATCCACAGTTAACAAGGAGCACTCATCCTGGGCCGGGCACTGTTCTAAGCACTTTCCATATGTCCTAAGAAATCCTTCAATCCTCATAAGAACTCTCAAGGAGGTACAGTTACGACCCTCATTTTAGAGGTGAGAAAGCTGAGGCACAGCAAGGTTGAGTGACTTGTGCGTGTTGTCTGTACCTGTGGATCTATGTCATCCTGTATCTCCAAGGCCAGTTAAATCCCAGAGGGGACTGCTGCGGGGGCTGCGGGTTGCCCTTCCTCCCTCGGGGGCTGGCTTGCGTTTGGGGGCCTCTGCCGGCTCAGGTTCAGTGTTATGCTTTGCTTCCAGGCCACCGTGCACATGGAGGGTGGGAAGATTGCGGTGGAGTTCCCCAACTATCGCCAGACCTCGGAGATCGTGGGCGACAAGCTGGTGGAGGTGAGTGTCCTGCTGGTTCCTGGGACAATGATGAGGACACTTTCCTGCCTCCAGCCCTGGCTCTCGGGGCACTTCCCATGTGCCAGGCTCTGTGCTGAGTGCCTGGGGGACATCGTCTCGTTCGACCTTCACGATCACCTGCTAGATAGGGCTTTTTCTCTGCATCTTCCAGGTGAGGACACTGAGGTGCTGGGAGCTGAGCGGTTAGCTGGAGGGCCCCTAGCTTCTCTGAGAGTGCTGGGAACTGGCGCTCGGCAGGGACTCTGCCGCCTCAGGGGCCCAAGCATGGAAGCCCCTGGGACCCTCCCCAGAGTTTAAATGAAGGGGGGAGTCCGGGTGGGCCCTGCAAGGGCAGCCACCATGCTGTTCCACCTCCCCAAGGGACTTCAGGCCCTTCCTGCTAGATCTTCTGATTTTTCAAGAGAAGCTGGAACTTTGCACTTCTCTGTGAAACCTCCAGACTACTAAATGCTGGCAGTGAATTAAACCTTTTAAAAAATGCTGGCAGGGCTAACACACACATCTGCGGCTGGACCCTTCCCACACTTGGTGCTCTATAACCACAGATTGGAGGTGCTGCTCTCACTTCACCTCCCTTCTGTTTCTTCCCCTGGGGCTCCAGAATTTTTCCCAGGTACAAGAAAGGGATGTGAAGTTAAAAGCAAAAAGTAGGCTCTTCCACACTTCATTCTCCCCTTGTGAGCCCATGTCCTGGGCCAGAGCTCCCTGGGGTCCAGTCTACCCTCCCCAAGGTTCTCCAGAAGGGAAGTGATGAGGGAGGTAGGGTTTGCCACCTCCTTGCTCCCCTCTTCTCCTCTCTCTCTCTCCCCCTCTTGTTTCCTTGTTTTCCTCATCCCAAACCCAGTCTAGAGGCCCAAGAGACTCAGTGACCTCCTATTATTCCCATTTTACAGAGAGGTCATTGAGGCTCAGAGAGAACAAGTCACTTGTCCAAAGCCCCACAGCTAGTTCGTGGTGGAGGCAGGTCTCACTGGCTGACTTCTAGACTAGGCTCTCTGCCAGCTCTGCCCAGGCCAGTGGGTCTTTAATTAAAAACAACAACAACAACAACAAACACACACACACACAAAACTAAAAATAAAGAGATGCACAGTATTTTAAAAAAATATATATAAAAGAACAAAATTGACTATCCATTTTTTCCTGGATAGAAATTGACCTCTTAGAAAATCTGATAAAAGCTCTGGACACATTTTTACATTAAATGTCAGCCAGTGGGTTCTGACTCCCAGAAGCAAAGCTCACGGCCTGTGAGGTGTGTGGGGAGCACCCAGGGTGGGAGAACCAGAAGCAGGTTTGTGCCCAACAGGAGGATCAATCTTCCCAAACTGAATAATCCTGTTTCCTGATGCCTAGAGGCTCCTGACCAGGGTTGTCAGAATCATCCTGGACACCTCTGTCCTTTTCCACCAACAGGGAGTGCATTAGGTGGGCATGCCTCCTCCCTCTCCAGGCCAACACCAGCACCCCTCGCCAGGCTCTCATCATCACCTAGACCAAGGCCTAGCCTCCTCCCTGCTCGCAGCTCTCCCTCTACTCCATCTTGCTCCAGGTGCAAATCACACATCACTTCACACTGCCGCCCTTGACAGAACTGCTCACAAAGATGACATTTGCCACCCACCCACTTCCTGTGAGAAGGCTGCCTCCTCTGCTGGCTGTCAGGACAAACTCATGATACTCGCATGCCCCCTGACAGTGGGTCTCGAGGGCCTCGAGCCCAGGACATAGGACAGCACCTTCACTGAACAGCACCCCCTGCCTGCCTTCCCCCCGGGGCAGGGACTCTATCACCAAGCACAGGTGTGTCCCATAAATGCTGTGTGGTGCAGAGGCTGAGTGTGGCCTCTAGATCTTAAAGGGGTTACTTGACTCCTCTAGACTTCAGTGTTCTCATCTGTACAATGGGTACAACCCTACTGTGTCGTTGGGAGAATTAAATGGGATAACACAAGGGAAGTGCCTGGAATAGGTGAATTTCAGTGGACAGATGGAAGATTACAATACGAAGAGCCACATCAGCCCTGACATCTGTTTAGTACTTTTGCCATACTGAGTCTACACAGGGGCTTGCATAACAAATTGGGAAACTGAGGCTCAGAGAACGGGTGCAACCTGTTCACTTCCGCTCATGGTTGGGACTGGAGGCCTGTCTTCCCCCAGCTGTGCTCCATCTCACTTAGGGGTCCCTGCACTGACTCCCTCTGTTCTGGCTGCTTCTTTCAGATCTCCACCATCAGAGGCGTGACCTATGAGCGTGTGAGCAAGAGGCTGGCCTGAGCAACCAGGCACGGTTCTTGTGGGGGGTGGGGGCACAGAGCCACGAGGAAAGCTGGGATAAGAACAGACATTCTGGGGCACCTGGGTGGCTCAGTCGTTAAGCGTCTGCCTTCGGCTCAGATCATGATCCCAGGGTCCTGGGATCGAGTCCCACATCGGGCTCCCTCCTTGGGGGGAAGCCTGCTTCTCCCTCTCCCACCTCCACTGCTTGTGTTCCTGCTCTCGCTATCTCTGTCTCTGTCAAATAAATAAATAAAATCTTAAAAAAAAAAAAAAAAGAACAGACATTCTGTTTGTCCAACCTCTTTGTCTTTGTTTTTGTTTTCTGGTGTTTTGGGCAGTTTCTAGCTGGGTAGGGGTGGGAAAGGCCCAAGGATGGCTACACAGGCCAAACCTTGGCCCTGAGACCCCTGTGGGCTCTGCAACATGGCAGAGGGAGGCTTGAATGTGGACTGCAATACTCCCGGCCCCCCTGGTGTTCGAGAAGCACGGTGGCCACATTTCCGTGCACCCTTGCCCCACCTTGCCACCCACCTCTCTGTGGGTAGAGACACAGGGCTCCTTTAACACACCGACTCTCATGTGGGCCACAGGACAGGTGTATCAGATGGTGGGTAGGAGGAGTGGCACTTGCAGGAGAGGGCCCTGCGGCTGGGCTCCAAGGCTGGCAGATGAAGGAGGAAGACAGGACTTGGCCAGAAAGGTGTTTTGCCATGGCCGTGGCTCTGCTGTTAATTGGCTGTGGAAGCATCCTTCTGGGCCTCAGTTTAACCACTGGTACAACAGGGGGCCAGGAGGACCAATGAGGGACTGAGGAGAAATTAGAGAGTATTATATGGCAAAGGGGCCATGGGAGTGACAAGAGGGACAAGAAGGGCCTGGGACGTCCTCATTTGGACAGCGATGCCTGGGAGAAACTGTGAGGGGCTTTGGCTGGCTGGGGAAGGTGGTCGGGAGGGTCATTCTGACCTCCTAATGGGTGCCAGGAGCCAAGTCCAGGATCCTGAGGCAGCCTTTGGGTAATCCCTGCCTGATTATTTGTCTCTCCAGGGCATGGGAGTGGGCTGGGGTGGGGGGTGGTGGTGGTGGTGGCAGCTTGCTCCCTGGCTAGATAATCCCTAACCCAGAGCACCGAACGGTCCTTTTTTCCATTCTCCTTCCTCCTTGGCAAGGACCCCACCCTGCTTTCTTACCCCCTATTTTTCTGTCTGACAATTCACTTATTTTTGCTGCAATGGAAACTTTAGACCACTTCTATATTTCAACATCATTTGCCATAAGTAGATGAAAACTATCAAAAAAGCCAAAGCTGAACGACAGCTAGATCCTGTTGCTTGCCCAAAGCCCCGAGCCTGTGGCGTCCCTAAGTGAAGGCAGAGATATAACAGACACAGCAGCATTAAATGGGCCACGCTGTCCTTGGCAAAACCAAAATTACTGCAAGGCTACTGAAAAGAGAACGTACTGCTATGAGAGCCGATTATCTAAATTACCTCAAATGCCCAAGTCCCAGATACGGGGCCTTAGAAATAAGGTTTGCTCAGTGCCTTGCACAGGGTCTAGCACAGAGCAGTGCTACCTGACCCAAGGCCCTTCCAGCCCGTGTAATGAACAACCTTTCACTGTCACAGGCCATCCTCAGCCTGAACAGGTGGCGCGGCCCAGCTTACAGGCTGCTCCCTCCTGCCTCCTCCCACATTCTGCCCTGAAACTTGTTTATCTTCCCAAGAACAGCACTCAGCCTCCCCCCAACCCCCCATCAAGCCAGGACCCCGTGCATTCCATCGTTTTGCCAAGACTTATTGCTAATTAAGTGAACTAGGTAAGCATTAAATTAAACTAGCAGTGTTGCTGTTTCCCCTCCAGACTGAATAATTACTCATAATGAGCTTGGATAATAAGTCTCTAAATAACAGAGAGTTAACCATAATTAGGCTGAAAATTGAGAGATTGAGAGAAAGAGGGAGGAGGAGGAAGGGAGAGGAGAGAGAAGAGAGGAAAGGGGGAGGGGAGAGAGGGAGGCGGGGAGAGGGTGAAGGAGGAGGAGGGAGAGGAGAGGAGAGAGACTGTTTTTACTTTGGCAACTGATTCAAGGACAAATTCAAATTGTTAGCAGGGGAGAAATTCTTAAGCCAGTCTTGTTATAGAGTCACAGACGCATAGAATAGCAGGACCTCGGAGCTCAACTAGTTTGAACTCTCTATTTCACAGATATGGAAACAGCGGCTCAGAGAGGGGAAGACATTTACCCACGGTCACACGGCAGAGAGTGTCTCTGAGAATAATGTGGGTTTGGGTATTGCCACCTGATGGAGGCCACAGCTTCTCAGTCCAGCTTATGGGGGGTGGATGGAGTAAGGGGAGCTGGAGTAAAGCATCCATTTTGCTGGCATCTTGGCAGGGAGGCTTCCTCAGCTGGTAGAAGGGACAGGGGTTAAGAGCTTTGACGCTGGGGACACGTTGTTGCCAGGGTTTGAATCCCTCTTCCACTGCCTAGAAGCTGTGTCCCCTTGGGGTAAGTTCACCCATTCCTCTGAGCCAGTTTCCTCACCTGAAAGTGGGGATAATAATTGTACTTACCTAGAGAGCTGTGATGCTACAAGCTCACTAAATATTAGCAGCTGCCGCCATGACCAGCCACCATCACCTCCACCATCACCACCATCATTCTCAACCAGCGTGACGAGAGGGTTAGCTGCCTCCTTCACTGACTCAAGGCACGTGCCCAAGCCGCTGGCTTTCTGTGAGTCTTACCTTGTCCGTGTGTAAAATGGACCAAGAAGACCTTTCCTTCCTGGGTCACAAGGGAGTTGCAAGGATAAAGGGTAAAAACCCATGTCCACGGCTTCCTAGAAGTTAGAGGAGCTTCACCACTTTGCTGCATTGTTCGAGATGCTACAGTGACTCCCCACTCCACAGGCCTCAGTTCGGGGGCCCTGTACCCCAGGCTCTTCGTGACTTTCATCCTGACTTTTGCGAGTCATCTCTTTCACTCTGTGGGGCAACTGCTTGCCTCCCACCAAGCTCATCTGGCCAAAGCCGCGGCTTACCAAAGCATCTTTAAAGACCACCACTAGGTGGCGCTCCACCTCCCACCTGCCGCCCTGAGAACGCCAAAGTGGGCGTGTCTGCTGGGGGGCGGGGCGAAGGGCGGGCAGTGAGATCCTGAGTGATTGGGCTTTGGTGGCCGAGTGTGTGTGTCATCTAGGGGTGACATGGCATTGGAGGCTACATGGGCTCCTCAGGCATTTCTAAATTTGAAGCCAATTCCTACCAGTTGCCCATATTGAGACCTTGACGGAACCCCAGTGTCTGTCTGGAAAATGAGTGAGAGAGCATGAGCAAAGTGTCAAATACGGGCCCTGGAACATCGTAAGTGCTCATTAAACAGTTATAAGGGCCTTTCTTGGAGGTTCTACTGGGGAGAACGGGCACACACAGGGTCAGAGCATTTAGAGCAGGGAGAAGGGTCCAAACCTGGCTGTGCATGAGCATCTCCTGAGGGTCCTCTTAAAAGAATAGCCCCGGCCCTACCCCAGTCCTCCCGAACTGTACTCTTAGGGATGAAGACCAGCGACCTGTCACTGTGAAGTGCTCCCCGGCTAGCCACACATGACTTTGGAGACTATTTCGGGTCCCAATCCTCCCATTTTTGCAGAAAGCATGACTTGCTATATATCCTGCCCATTGTGTCCCTGGCCAGGGCAGCAGCCTGAAACACTGGTCAGAGCCGGCCCAGCAGAAGCCAGACCACTCGAGTTCTTCCTTAGAAGCTAGAGCTAGGTCAGAAGTGAAGCCCAGAGACTCACCTGTGTCCCACTTATTTACACTCTTTCTCAGAGAACTCATTGTTGAATAATGATACTATACATTCCATGCTTAGTTATCATAAACCCAAGCTGGTAGCCTTCCCACCTTATAAATGAGGAGACAGAGGCTCAGAGAGGAGAGCTGGCTTTTTCCAAGGTCATCTAGCTAAGAGCAGACAAACTCAGATCTTCCACCTTTGAAGCCCAATGCTCTTGCCTATATACTAGAAGCTTCACGCTTCCAGCCCAAGAACTATTCTGACTTACAATGTATTTTATTGGTCATCTACTGTGTTAAGATTTTTTTAAATTTAATTTTAAATTAAGTGAAAAATTAGTAGGTTTCCTAGGAAAGACAGATTTCCAGTTGTTCTGGAAATCTGAAGGTTCAGCACTGCAGAGCTTACACCCCTGAAAGATAATAATTGACCAGAGCTGAGGAGAAGCCATATCCTTTAGGGAGACACTGGTTTCAATGCAGTAGTCAGCCCATCACGCTGTCTCAGTCACCCAGCTGGGTCCACTACGTTACCTGCCTGGTCCTGGTGGGCATCTGGACTTGAGACTCCTGTGAAATGCTATGGCCTTTCTGCTGAAATTCAAGTCACAAAGGTCTTCCCTGAGGAACAGAGAATGAGGTGAATGAGGGCTGGTAAGATTCTTTCCGAGGCTCGTGGGGCCAGGGACCGCCAGAGCCAGCCCAGAGACAGGGTCCCTCCCAGGGGATGCTCTGGGGAAACCCCAAGCCTGGTCCCAGATCTCCACCCTCAGATGGGGTTCAGGGAACCCCTCCCACATCCGAGCCTGCTGGGGGCAGAGAGATGCAGCCGTAAATCACGTTAGCCTGGGGCAGATGTGCAAGAAGCCGTTTCTGTATTTCTGTCTGTTGGCGAGTGCACTCCGAGAGCACGCCTGCCACGCCGTAAATCAGGAGTATGAATGCCTGGTAACCCTTTTCTTTTATGAACCCGTATCCATTATGCTGTCATGTCTTCCCCACCAGGTGAGCGAGGTGGCCAGCTGGGACCATCACAGAGCCTTTTACTCATTCAAAGCCCTTGACTGAGGTACTACAAAGTGGCAGGGCAGATTCAGACTGCCGGAGTTTGAGTTGTGGCTCCTGAGGTCCCCACTGCAAATAACCTCTCCATGCCCCCGTTCTCTGATCTGTACAAGCTAATAATAGTTCCTACATTATAGGGTTACTAGGATGATTATCAACAATAGGAGCAAATTCCCGGGCGCCTGGGTGGCTCAGTTGGTTAAGCGACTGCCTTCGGCTCAGGTCATGATCCTGGAGTCCCGGGATCGAGTCCCGCATCGGGCTCCCTGCTCGGCAGGGAGTCTGCTTAGTCCCCTGACCCTATCCCCTCTCATGTGTTCTCTCTCTGATTCTCTCTCTCTCAAATAAATAAATAAAATCTTAAAAAAAAAAAAAACAATAGGAGCAAATTCCTTAGCATAGCACTTTGTACACAGTAAATGCTCAATAAACGCCAACAGCTATGATTCATGCCACCCTCACCAAGTGGTAATATTCTTCATGTTCTACTGGGGGAAAGTAGCTGAGGGCACAAACATCAAAGCAAGTAAGCAAACTAACAAGATCATTTCAGATGGCTTTAACAGCTATGAAGAAAATAAAAAGAGTAATGAGTGACTAGGGTTCTTACAGAGACCTCTTTGGGAGCTAACACATGTTGAGGCTTCTTAATCTTGCTAGTTCAGTTATTTGGGGCTCGACAGTTCTTTTTTGGGGGGGCATCCTGGGCTGTAGGATGTTCAGCAGCGTCCCCGGCCTCTTCCTGCTATATGCCTGCCATCCCCCCACCCCAGTGGTGACAGACAAAAATGTCTCCAGACATTACCAAATGTCCTCTAAGGGGCAAGAATGAGCCCGGTTGAGAAACGAAGATAGAAAGGCGGAAGGGAGAGGAGCATGCAGGTGACAGAACAGGTGGCTCTGGAGGGGTGGACTTTGAACCCCAGGGCATGAGGAAGTGGAACCTTGACCCCAACCCTAATCCAGGCACTTATGATGTTAAACCTGAGGAAGCAGGCTGTCCTTGGAAAATGGATCTGCACGTCCCAAGCCTTCATATGGCTTGGCTGAAGAAATACTGCATCGAATAAAAAACAGCTAAGTACGGAACAAGGTCTATGTCTAGAACTCAGGTGGCTCAGAAATTCAGACTGGGATGTGGTTTCCTTACTCTGTCCTTTGGGCCGGAAACCAGGTCCTGCATGAAGTCCTCTGCTGGAACGTCAAAGAAAACACGCATCTGAGTCACCCGGAAGCCAGCTAAAAATGCAGACTCCCAGGCCCCACTCCTTTTTGGGAAGACTCCAGGTCATTGTGCAGCTTGCTCATGTTTGAAAATCTCTGGACTGAAATAGCTGTCAGCCCCAGAGGGGCCTTTAAAGCCATCTCTGTGCTTTTTCAAGCTTTCTAAACTACTGCCCAGCATGGGCAAGAACAAAATCTAACATGGAACACCCATGTGTGGGAGAAGTATGAGCAGATCCCTTGGGTTGAAGGAAGGCAGAAGCCCAGGGCCTCTGTGGCTGTTTCCCTCTTGAGCTCAAAACCACACAACTCAACCATCTCTACATTAACAGGTGGAGAAACCGAGGCCTAAAGACAGAGGGATAGTGAAGTGGGTGTTCTTGATAAATCCATGACTTGCCTTATTGTCAAATCCCCCAAATCTAGAGCCTCCTGGCCTGCACATGGCAGATGGGGAGTACCGCCCCAGCTCCGGGGGCCGGACCTCAGCTTCATGCCCTGAACGTGTTTCTCCCCACACCTCCCTGTCCTCACTAAAGGCATCCGTTTCGAAAGAACCATTCAGCTCCACATTACACCGTGTTCCCAGGATGGTTCTCCTGCAGGAACCTGGGAGAGTGGAGGGTGGGGCTCTTTTTCCTTTCAGAAAGAGTCTGACACTTTCCGTAATAGCTGACACCATATTCCATCGATTCTATGGTACAGATATTTTTACTTTTTAACCCTCCTGAAATATTAATCAGCAGTCTCTCAAACCCTGTGCCCTAGTTTAGTTGGCAGGTTTTTCTTTAATTCTTCTTACTGGTACATAAAATAATGGTGCATCCTGAAGGAGAATTTACGTTTGGTTTTGACGTGCATTATGTCGCTTAATCCTCCTGAGAACCCGACAAGGCAAGTGTTATCACCCCCATTTCAACAGGTGAGAAGACTGAGGCCCAGAGCAGTTGAGTCAACTGCCTCCCAACAGCCAGTAAGTGGTTGTGGTGAATCATATGTGGTAGCTTGGCGAGGCTGTGGCACACGGTGATTTAGTCAAACACCAGTCCAGATGTTGCCATGAGGGCATTTTGTAGATGCGATTAACATTGACGATCAGTAAGCCTTAAGTACAGGAAACTACTCTGTGTGTGTGTGTTGGGGGGATGTGGCAGGGGTCCTCATGCAGTCAGGTGTGGGCTCTAAGAGCAAAAACAGGTTCCCTGGAGAAGGAATTCTCCCCAAAGGCTGTCACAGAAGTTCTGAGTTTCTGGCTTGCCCTACAGATTTTGGACTCCATTGAAACATCAACTCTTACCTGCATTTCCAGCCTGCTGGCCTGCCCTCCAAATTCCTGACCTGTCAGCCCCAACTGTGTGAGCCAATTCCTTACAATCAATCTCTCTGGCTACATATATAATGAGTGCTGTTTCTGTGGAGAGAGAACCTTGACCAATAGTGGGTACCAAGAGCTGGACGTCGAGCCTTACTCCTGCCATGGGTGTCCCCAGGGAGGCCCAGCGCCAACTTGGGGGGCAGCACCCAGCTCCACGGGGGCCAGTCTTGTGTTGCCCCGCCCCCGCCAACCGCAACCTCCCGGCAGGAGCAGAGACATCCCCGGGGTTGGCTGAGAGGACAAGGGCAGGAAAGGAACAGAGACCAAGAGCAGGTGATATGTTATGTTTATTGCAGGATGCCTTTTTCTGGGTGCTGGGCTGGCTGTGAGGTTCTACTGGGGGGCCCCTCACAAGCCCCAGTCCCAGAACAGACACATTAACTTGGAATCCAAACCAGTCTCACATAAATAGAAGGAGGTTGGCAAAGGAAAAAGAGAAAAGCAACAAACAAACATGTAGTTTTTCCACACTCGTGGGACAAAGTGGCAGCAGCACCTTATCTCCGTCACCTCCTCTTCGGCTTCTATGCCGAAGCTTCCATTCACTCTGAAAATCACCTTCGGATCCAACTGAGCAGCACATAGCCACCTCCCTGCCAGTCCCCGAGCCAGTCTCCTGGACTGGCACATAAACCAAGAAAACCAAGATGGGTTCTTTTTAAAACAAACAAACAAAAAATGCTTCTGTGGTTCTTTGCACCTCCCAGTTCTGATGGATGAACAATGTGTCCCCCTGACCCCGAACCAAAAAAAAAAAAAAAAAAAAAAAAATGAGCACAAGCCACGAGTCAGAATAAAAACATATTGCACATGGTTACAAGAGTCTTCCTGAGAGCCCATTCGCTGCGGGGACCCAAATACTGGCTTTCGATCTAACCCATCGCTTGCCTGTCAGTGGTTGTGACATATACCCATGTACGTGCCCCGCTCCCCAAATCCAGCTGGCATGAAGCCAATATTCCGCATGTTCAGCCTTCCCTGTGAGCCAAACTCAAAGCCAAGGCTGGGTTTAACCTCGCGCACCATAAGCCCATGGTGGAGGGAGGTGGGGGTTGTTAGTTGTAAACCTTTGTCTACCCTTCAACCACCTTTTCCTCTGGGTGGTTGCTGAAGTTCTACAGGTGAACACAGCATCTAAGACGCGGAATCGTCTGGAACCGAGAGCCTGGAAAGTGGCTCTCCCCAACCATACGCTTTTGAAAACGGAGCTCTGCTGTTACAAGCTGGGTTAGAACCTACAGCCCTTGCGTGGGATGGCAATCAACCTTTTTTTTCTCCTAAGGAATTTTCAAGTATCACAAAATCCCTGATACAGTATGTAAACAAGATATGTTACTGAACAGAAAGCTAGGTCACTTCGGGAAGCAGCAGCATGTGAAATATCTAAAAGGCCAAATAAGGTTTTAGGTTGGACAACAAAGGCATGACAGCCACCCACCGTGCCTCGGAAGGCGACGCCCAGGCTTAAACACACGCAGGCTCCTCCGTATGGAGCCAGGGAAGGAGCACCCAAGCCGGCCTCTGCTGGGGTCCTGAGAAGACATCAGGCAGTCCCTTCTTGTTCAGTGTAGCTGCCACTGGCAAGGAATAAAGAAGTCTTTGATGCTAGACGCCAGACGTGCTCACGGACTGGCGGCCTGCATCCTGTGTCCAGTCTCCTGGCCTCTCACCAGGTCTTTCTCAATCCACCGGGTTCCTCCTCCGGAGGATGGTGGCCGAGCCGTCCCCCTGCACCCCAGCTGCACATGTGGAAGACGTTTTCCAGAGGAATTCTCTCGGGGGAGGGATGTCATTGACCACTTTGCTCTGGGTCGGCTTTGTTTAAAAAGAACATGAACCCTCTGTGTTCAAAGTCAGCGAGGCCCTGTGGGGACGGCCTCCCCACTGCCTCACTCGGCTGAGCTCCCCTCATCTGTGTCCTCTTCCTCTGCCCAGGTGCGTTTCCAAGGCCTCCCTCTGTGGCCCGAAGGTGCCCTATCTGTCGAAACAGCCTGTGGGGAACACGTGGCTTCCGCTGAAGTAGCTGCTTCCGTAGGTGGTGGTGAGGCAGTGTCTGGGCTCAGCTGTGATGGCCATCTGCATGCTGAGGGGCGTGGGGAGGGACACGGGGCACACATCCAGGGGCTGGAGGGTGGGGTACAGGGTGTGGAGGGATGAGCCAGAGCCCGCTGAGAGCAGGCTCCCAGAGCGGTGGGCCTGCAGCGAGTCTCGATAGGCCAAGCAGAGGTCCTGCACGGGGGTCTGGAACTGGGCCAGGCCCGGCGCCACTGGCTGGCTGAGGGTGGGGTAGGCGGGCGGCTGGAACAGCACTTGGGTGGGGGCGGGGGTTGTGCTGGGCACCATTGCCAAGGCCTGGCTCTTGACCGCGACAGCGTCCTTGAAGACGTTGTCATAAGCTCTGAAAGGAAATGACCTGGGTGAGACCTGAGGTCAAAGTCCACAGCAGCAGACCCCTGAGTGTGCCCGAGTGGGATTCGAGATCTGTGTGCTGTGACCCCAGGGCCGCGCCCACCCATGCTCACTGTCTGTAGTGCTGCTCCCCGCCCCCCGCCCCCGCCGGCTCTCTTCTGACTAAACTCAGCCCGCAGACCTTAGCCTGGATCTGCTTCCTACGGAAACCCCTTCTGGACCCTCGAGACTAGCCTCGCTGTCCCCCAGGCTGCTACACTGCCCATCGCAGCAGTCAACCCCTAGCTGATCATTTCTGGGTTACCACCTGCCTCCTGGTGCCGAGTGCAAGCTCCAGGAGGGAGGGGCCAGCACTTGATGAGTACAACTTCTGCTTTCGAGGCACCCCCAAACAGATCCCAAGCAAGCCGCCCCTGGGGCCTAAGTTTCACCTTCTGAAAAGGGAATCAACATGTTTATTTCCATCTAAAAAAAAAAAAGAAAGCTTCCCATAAAGCTTTTTGAAATAACAAATCCATTAATCCGGTAGAGACTTAGGTTAAGACAGGAAGGTTAAGACAGGAGCACAGGGAGGCTGTGGATCTGAGAAGGTGGCCATCCCAGAGCCACCACCCTGGTGAAGAGGCAGGGCTGGTGGCTAAGCATCTGGGGTCACCTATCTGCATTCACACCAGACCATATGCTCTGGCTTTGGGCACCTTCAACAAACACAGATTTTAAAACAAGGTCCAGGGAGCAGGGTGGACAGTTCAGAGCAACGAGACAGAGGCAGCTAGCTACCAGCAAAGCTTCCCGCATCAGGAGGCTGAGAGGCCGCTTTCCAGGGTCCAGCCCCGTGGTGAGTAGGGCCAGCATCTAGCAGGTGCTGCCACCTGTTGGGTGGAAGAGGGAAGGGGTGCAGCCAGCCTGGGGTTCTCTGTCCTCTCTGTCTCCTCCCTGCCGTCACCACTAAACACTTCCTCCTTCAATATCAGTTTCATGGTGTTGGGTCTATGTTGTCCTTATGCATCTTCTCTGATACATTCAACATGTCCTCCCCAGTATTCCCAGGGACCCATGCAAGGAGGCTGTGGTCTCTAATGTTAAGCCACTCTGGGCTTGGCTGGCTAAGAGGTCAACTTTGTGGCCACGTCTGAGAAAAGCAGCTTATCATGAATGTAATCACTCAGTGTAATCATCCGTAAGACTGACTGATACACCGGGCTCAGAGCAAACAGCCCAGACACTCAGAAGGGTGTGCACATAGCCTCTCTTTTCCCCGACCCCTTGACCTTAAAATTGCAAACCCAACGCTACCCAAAATAGGAAGGACCACCTCTGCAAACCTTAATTCTATCAGGATTCACCATGGCCCACTTTATGGGAGACACTACCTGGGGGAACCACCACAACCCTCTGACTTTGAGAAACTGCCTGGGTGGGTCTCAAGAGCAAGTGCCTCGATATTCTGGAAACACGGAAAGATCAGGGGTGGAACTTACACCAGCAGGATTTCGATGCATGTGCTGAGATGTTCCAGGGTGTAATTTGAGATCCTCTGTAGGTCTCTGGTCCAGTAGGGAGAAAGCTGAAGGCAAATCCTGGAGGCCCCAACGCAGGCTGCAGCAACCACAGAAGGCTGGAATTTGTAGAAAATATGATCTGAAAGAGAATCACAGAAGTCAGCATCATAGAGCCTCGCTCTGGGGTCCCAGTGCCCCTCCTACCTTGTGCCTCCTGAGCAATGGCAGACAAATGATTCGGTTCAAGCCTGTTCATGGCTGCCATACACACACAGGATGAAAAATTAGAAACAGCGTGAAGTTCCACTCCTGAATCTTAAACACCTTGGCTCTCAGTCTGGGATTTCTGGTGTTAGCCTAGAGTGATGATTTTCAAAATTTCACCCAGAGCTTCCAGGGGGCTGCCAGGGGCTCACTGAATGGCTACAAAGAGCATCACAAAACACGTGTCCTTTCTTTGGCTGTGAGGGGTGAATGACACACCGTTGCAAAAGCTTCTGTTTCGGGTGGGACTACAGGCTACTTGCTAATAGTAACAAAGCCTGGCCTATAGTAGGCACTCAATAAAAATCCGCTGAATGAGTGAGTGAGTGGTCATAAGCATTTGATGCTCATAACTAAAACTAGCACTTGACTTAGGTTTACTGAAGAACCTTCCCCTCCCCCCCACTCAGCTTTACTGACATACGACTGGCAAATAAAAACTACACGTATTTGAGGTGTACATGTGATGTTTTGGTACATGTATACGGTGCGAAATGAATCTTAATGTCCTACTAAGATGTCTGGCACCGTGGGGAAACCAGCACTACTTACGTGCAAAGGCAAACTTCAGATGCCCAGGATTTTCACGAATGACACTGGTGATCAGTGCATCATTGTTCTGTCTTACATTGCTTATCATTCCTGATGACTTCAACGTTTGCCAGTTAAAGTAGGGGTCAAGCAGAGTGGCATTATGGTTATGAGCGCGGGCACAGAACCATGCTCCTCAGATTCAAATCTTAGCAATGACCTTGGGTAAGTTACCTCACCTCTTGAGCATCCGTTGAGGAAACAGATTTGTAAAACAAGAGTAACAGAAGTGATTTTCACGTGGAGTCATTGTGAAATTCCAATGACATCTTACAACTCAAAGCACTAAAATAAGGTGCCTGGTACACGGTAAATGCTCAATTAATGCTCGATACAACTGTTGATCTTGTTATTCAGGACCATTTTGGTTTGTGGTGGGTTATCGGGTGGTTGTATCAACAGTATTTCTGACCTGCTAGTCTACCTAATACCTGGATTTTAAGACAATGGGAAGAGTGGGATTCAAACAAAGTCCCCAAAGAGGGTAACTTTATTGCTAAACGTCATTACTGAAACATAACATGAGGACAGCTCTTCCGGATGACCTACTTGCAAATCTATCCTATTAGATCATTTGCAACCTTCCAGGTTACCATAAGAAAAATTAGCAGGTGATCAGTACGTTTGTAGGGGGCCAGCTGCCAGGATCTGAGCAGCTATTTGTCATTACATAGTATTGGTAACATGCTGGGAGAATCGCTGCCCCTTCCTTGTGTATCCCCTTGGAAGTGGGGGTGCTCTGGGTGGACAGGCCCCGGTCAGGAAGGACTTTGTGGGCGGACATGCATCTGTGTGGGTGGGGAAGGGGTAAGAGGTCCCGCCGTCGGGCCCCACCTTGCAGGGTGACCTCTAGGAAGTAGTGGGCGTACTCCTTGAGGCACTCTTTGGTCTTGCGGGGGCAGGCGGGGGGCCAGCTGTGGCAGTGGTGGTCCTTCTGGCTGACGGAGGCCGAGAGGTAGTAGTCCAGAAAATGGGCGGGCGTGGGCAGGCAGAGGTTCCAGCTGAAGGCCTCCAGGAGCAGCAGTTCTGTGTTGAGCAGCTCCTTCTTGGTGAGGGTGAAGTTCTGGCCGCTCAGGATCCTCGTACTGTTTATCTGCTCCAGCTTGGGGACGTGGTCTTCCCTGTCCTCGAACTTACCTGCAGGAGAAGCAGAGGTTATTGGACGATGGCCCTCGCCTGCACCCAGGAGGTAAAGGCCCACCTTAAAGTGCCTGGACAGTGCGGGCAGGGAGGAAAGCCCAAACGGCCCCACTGCCAAGGGACGAAGAGCACACACTCTGGGTCTGACACACCAGAGCTTGGGTCCCCCAAGCCACCGCTTCCAGCTGTGTGATCGTGCACACGTGTCCCACCCTTCCTGTGCCTCAGTTCCCTCCTCTGTAAAATGGAACCTAAACCTCATCAAGTTTGTCAGAGACAATGAGAACATGCACACCAAATGTTCAGGCCAGCACATGGAACACGGGAGGCGCTCAACAGCACTTAGCCACAGCAGTGAGGGCCTGCGGAATAAGGGAGCCCTCTCTCCACCGTCTGGCCCTCACTAGCTCAATCTCAGGACTGGTCAGGGGTCAGACAGCCAGAGTCAGGATGACCTTGCAAATCTGATCCTGTCCCCCCCTGCAATGGCTCCCCACTGCCCTGAGCATTGGGTTTAAACCCTGGCAATAGGTTTTTAGCTTGGATTCCCTCAGAAACGGTCTGCTCGTGAGGTGAGCCTAGGAGAGACCCATAAGTGGGAGACGTGGGAGGAGACAGGAAAGGGAGGAAAGGCAAAAAGAGAACATTATCTTGAAGTTATCCGTACCCCTATGTTCACTGCAGTATTAATTACAATAGCCACAACAGGGAAATAACCCGTGTCCACTGGGGTATGAATGGATAAAGAAAATGTGGTTATTTATATACAATAGAATAATATTCAGCTGTACGAAGAAGGAAATCCTGCCATTTGCGACAACATGGATAAACCTTGAGGGTATTATGCTAAGTGAAATAAACCAGGAAGAGAAAGACAAATACTGTATGATCTCACTTATATTTGGAATCTAAAAAAGCCAAACACATAGACACAAAGAACAGACTGGTGGTTACCAGAGGCAGGGGTGGGGGAAACTTGTGAAGGTGGTCAAAAAGTAAAAACTTCCAGGCGTGCATTGGTGGCTGTCAGCTAAGCGTCTGACTTCAGCTCAGGTCATTATCTCAGGGTCCTGGGATCGAGCCCCGCATCAGGCTCCCTGCTCAGCGGGGAGTCTGCTTCTCCCTCTCCTTCTGCCTCTCCCCCAGCCTGCACTCTCATGCACACGTTCTCTCAAATAAATAATAAAATTTTTTAAAAAAAATTCTCATCACCAGAAAAAAAACTGTAACTATGTGAGGTGATGGATGTTAACTAAACTTACTGTGGTGATCATTTCACAATATGTACATATATCAAATGATTTTTATATACTTGAAACTAATACAATGATGTGCTCGCTTCGGAGGCACATATACTAAACTAATAAAACATTGCATGTCAATTACATGTCAGCGAAACTGGGTGTGTGTGTGGGTGACATTATGGACTTCCATCTTCCTCCCTTGGAGTGCCATGCTGGGACCGCCATGTAAGGAAGCAGGTCTAGCCTGTTGGTGGTGGAGAGGCCACAAGGAGGACAGAGGTACCCAGGTGACAGCCAGCACCAACTCTCAGACATGCGAATGAGACCATCCCGGACCTTCCAGCCCCGTCCCTCCAGCAGCTGGATGAATGAGCGCAGGTGAAACCAGCAGAGGAAACGCCATGCGACCCACATCACTGTTGTTTAGATCACCAAGTGTGGGCATGATTTGTTTGGCAGGAAGAGATAACTGCGATACATTCCTATCAATGGCGGTGGCGAAAAAGATGTGAAACCCCACCAACAGGTAAGTCACATGGCTCAGAAGGTACTGAAGGAACAACGAATAGATACTGGAAGGTCCTGGAAATAAACAGTATGAAATAGAGCCGCACGGAGCTAGATAACAAACACAAATTAAACATGAGCCTCGATTATCCCACTCGAGGGTCAAGGGAACTGACTTACACCGCAATCCCTGGCAGTCAGCAATGGGGGAGAGCTCCAGGAGCAGCCTCCATGGTGGGAGGCTCTGCAGGTGCGGCGGCCACGGGCCTCCCAGCCTTAACCCACCTGGCCCTGTGGAAACCACACACACCTGGCTGTGGCCTCTGTCCCTGCAGTTCTCTGAAGGCCCCGTGCCCCCCTCGCCCACGAGCCTTCATCTACACAGCCCTCTGCCTGGGGCACCCTTCCCCTTCCCCTCTTCACTCCGCCAACCTCTCCCTGTCCTTCACCCTCCAAGTCCCCGCCCCTTGGAAGCCTTCCCCGACCACAGTCCCTGTCCTGCCTGACCTGCACATCACACGGTGAGTCCTGAGGCCTGGCCTTGGCGCCCAAGCTCACTGGGGGCAGAACGCTGCTGAGCGAGTGTCAGAAGAGACAGGGCGGCCAGCCGAGCTCAGAAAGCACGCGTCTGTCTGCGCCGACTGAAAGAACGACAAAGCATCCACACACCTGTGCACAACTGCGAGCTCGTGACCCAGTTCCCATCAGACTTTCACCCTTCTTAGGAAACGGAAGAAGTAACCACTTCAGGCTGCCTTACGCCGGATGAAATGCATTCCCCAGGCAGGCCTCCAAAATTGTCCCTGAGATCTTCTCAGCGAGCCGTAAGGAACCCACTAAGCGGGCAAAGATGGTGTGACATGAAGCTCTGGTCCTTGCCGGGCAGGAGTGAGCAGGGAGAAATGTACAGAAGAGCGAGGAGCGGAGACTGCTGGCCGAGCGGCCCCCACGCAGCTTACAGCAAGCCCCGACAGTCTCCTTCCAGAGCCCTCTCCGTCAGGACCGAAGCCTGGGTGGCGCCACCTTCAGGCCACACCTTCCCTTGTCTTGCAAGCAGGGGCAACTCCAGCAGGAACAGCAAGGTCAATGCTGCCCAAGGGGGAAGAGCCTCTTGCATGGCTGGAAATCCTGGGGTGGGGCCTGGCTGACGAGGCCTTGCCAGCCCCCCACGCCCTCCCTAAGCAGGGGACCCCTCCTCCAGCTGGGCGTGCTCATCCCTTCACTCTCCTTATCACGCTCGGTTCAGAGGCCACTGGATGTCATCAAGGCACTTCTCACGCTCAGATCGCTTAATATCAACTATTAATATTAACGGCTAGCACCTGACCAATAGGTCATTAATAGGTCGAAGCCCGTGAGGACAAGAACCACGTCTGACCCCCCTGCAGCTGGGCCCCCAGCTCCCAGCACCCTGCCTGGTACAGAGTAACTGCCCAATGAATATTTGTTGAGAGGATGAATGGTACTCTCTTGATAGCTGAATTTTAGGCCATTTGAATTGTTCTCTGATTATCTCCGATTACCTGCATTCCCTAATTTTTTCTCCAATGATCGTATCTTTGTGCAATTTAAAAAGAAAGATATTTTTGCAAAATTGTGAAGTTTTCCCTGAACCTTGTGCTGAGCGAAGCCAACACTGTTCACAGACACTCAGTGGATACAAGTGCTCTTTTCTTCCCCCAGAGCAGAGGGTGCCATGGCGAAGGTCACAGCCCTGGGGGTGGAACTAAGACCCTAGCACAGCAATCTGTTCTGACCAGCAGATGGGCTCAATGCGATTAGTTTTCTCCCTGCCCTCAGAGCTTTTCAAACCTTTCAGACCTCTGCTTCTTCCCTAGTTACCAGGCCCAAGGGGATTACCCCCCAGTGGAAGGGGTCACGGGTTACTAAGGAATCTGAATTCACCTGCTCCCCAGGCTGGAGAAGCTTTTGTAGGCCAGGGCCAGGCAGGGTGGGGTCTGAATCCTCAAGGACTTTGCTCTGGACCTAACGGCTCTAAACGCCACAGGCCACTTGTTTCCTATTTAGGAAGTTGCCCCCGTGGAGATGAAAGGGCCACGAAGGATGGAAAATGTTTCTGGAGTGCCCAGTGCACAGAAAGGGACAGAGTCCTCCTGCTGGGCCGGGCACTGGGTCCTCCCAGGCAGTTTCTGTTCAGATCCCCCAAGGCTCGGAGAACTTCGCTCCACATCTAGGAGCGACCTTATAGCCCCAGCTCTTGGTTGCTGGCCGGCAGACCCCAGCTCAGCAACTATTCCCCAGCACAATACAGTTCGCAGCCAGAAAAGATTTTATGAGTTTCCTGGTGTTGCACGTGCCTGGCAGACACTTCCTCCCCTCCTCCCATGGCTGTGAGCGGCCAGCCCTTTGTCCCCGGTGCCGCCACCACCAAGTGCCGCCACTCAGCTGCTTACTCCTTATCGACAAACTGCATTGACACCAGATGCCTGGAAGTCTGCAGGCGGGTCCCCCGGGACGTGTGGGGGACAGAAGTCTGAGTCTTTCCAAAGCAGACCAGAGCCACAGACTCACAGACTCTGACTCCTTCAATGTACATTTTATTTGGAAAATGTTCAAATCCACAGAAAAGATGAAATGATGTAAACAATGAACACAGATGATCCTTCGGCCAGATTCACCAACTGCTGACTTTGAGCCACATTTGTTGTGCGTGTGTATATGTACTGGTTTTGCGGGACCATTTCTAATTAAGTTGCAGACGTGACATGCCATCCCTGGGCAGCGTCCATCCCTGAAGTCATTTTCCTACATAATCATAATGCTATTACCAATCCTAAGAACAACAGCATTAATGCAATAACATTTTCTTTCCTTTCCTTTCCTTTTTTTTTTGTAAGTAGGCTCCACACCCAACGTGGAACTTAAACACATGACCCTGAGATCAAGAGCCGCTCACTCCACCCACTGAGCCAGCTAGGCGCCCCTGCATTTTCTAATATTCAATCCACATTTGACTTTCCCCCAGGAGTCCCCGAAATGTCTTTTATAACTTTTGTTTTTTTGGATCCAGATTCGACAAGGCTCACACATGGTGTCTGTTATATATCTCTAGTCCCATTCTTTGTTTTTCAAGACACTGACTCTGGATGAATCCACGCCCGTTTTCTTCTAAAATGTCTGATATTCTGGGGGTGCCTGGCTGGCTCAGTTGGTAAGGCATGCAATTCTTGATCTCAGGGTCATGAGTTCAAGCTCTGCATTGGGCATAGAGCTTACTTAAAAAAA